ACTTGGGGCGTACGCTGTTGGCTGGTTTCAAGCACTTGGCTAAAATACTCAAGAAGGAGCAGTAATGTTAAAAAAATTACCACCATAAACATAAGACATTAAGTTTAAAATTAAAATTTCCTGTATTATCCACTAATAACCAAGTTTCTCCTTTGCTGCGCAGTTTTGGCGTATGCTGTTCCACCTACACTTGAGGCGCCCGCCGTTGACTGCCTTATATTTTACTCACATTTTTATTTTTCGTCGCTTTCAAATTAGACCGCTTCGAGGAGACAGTACGATTTTGGACTTCATGTGCAATAATTTTATATTAAATGCATAAAATAGATTAATAAGCCTGAGTTATTGTTATACCTAGGTTATACTGAGTTATACTGTTATACTGAGTTGTTGTTATACTGAGTTATTCTATACCTAGGTTTCTGAATTACCAAAATAAAGAAAAAATATTCTGAAATTCTAATGAAAAATTAAATCTATGAATACGAGGAAAAATATTCTAATAATATTATCATATTTTCAAGAAACTTTTTTAAATACAAATATTTTTTTTCGTATTTTTTTTTTTTAATTTTAATAGAAATCTTAAAATTTCTAAACCACAATAAAAATGTGAAAGGTAAATTATTTTCTTTTTGTTTTCCTGCATCACAGAAACCATAAATTTTATTTACGTAAATAAATATCTTAAAATAAATATTAAATTTGTTTATTTAAACAAATTATTTATAAAAAAGAAAGTGAAGAATTATGCTTAAAGAGGAGTGTGTTCTTTGAAATATACGAAAATTGTCTGCCTGGAACACAATATTCATGAAAACTGGTTAAAATATGGTATAATGTCTGCCTGGAACGTAAGTTTTTATCAATAATCATTAAAATACGAAATAATAAGTATGTAGTGTATAATATTTTCAATCTAAAATCTTCTAATTAATTATTAAAAGGGAAATTTTATATTCTTACCCTCCTATAACGCATAACAAATAATCATTACAATAATTATTAATTGTGTATACTTAATGTATTTAATAAGGAACAATAAACCTTTAAAAAATTATTTTCAAATTAAAATCAAATATAACTTTTATTACTCTAACTCGTATTACATCATTAAATAAAGTCTGTATTAAAATTTTGTTATAGGCCTATTAAACTAAAGAGCATTGAAATAAAAATGTAAAAATTGTAAAAAAAATTAAAAAGAAGATTTCTATTAAGTAATTTTTTTCTCATTCTTCACATCTACAGTAGGAATAAAATGACTTTAAGTTTTCTTAAGTTGTAAACCGAATTATTACAAGGCATTTTTATTATAAAACATTTTTTATCGAAAAAAAATTGTTAGCAAAAAATTAGATATTAAACAAAAGCGGGAACGATTTGTCCAATATTTTATATGAAAAAGGAATCTTTAAAAATTATTCTTTGAAAGGGAGGGGGGATGGTTCTTCTTGTTACATTGATAGTCGAGTGTTATTTTCAGGGTTGCGGTTGGCCTTCTTGTTGGCCTAGAGTATGGGCTTTGCATTGGTGCGCAGGCAGGGTCTTCCTCTCTTACTTCTACTACTCTATATAATAAACGTAATTTCAGATGATGTTCTATAATATTTATCATAAATAATAATATGCAAATTATACATATCGAGCTTTATGTAGTGCATTTGACAATATATTAAATGAAGTTACCATTTGAAAAAAAAAAATATTTTGCATTAAATGAAAACACGCAAAGAAATACACATACAAACATATTTATTTATTTCTTTTCATAAAAGAGATAACGAATTTACCCCTTTTTTTCTGTCCCCGTTTTTGATGTTTAAATATACATACATATACACATTTTGCTGTATATTAATGTCATTTAATATGCACGTGTGTCCTTGAAAGTAACCTTTGTAATAATATTTTTTTTTTCTTTGTATCCAGTTATTGTTTGAAAAGTTGCTTTTTCATTTCTATATATGTATGTAGTACCTCTGAATATTCGGTATAAAATTATACATTATTTTGTGTATATATTTAAAATATAAGAATACTTTAAATATTATATATAATATTAGGAGAGTTCGGGTATATCTATTATTAATCTGTTTTTGAAAATTGTTAGAAAAATTTTAAAAGTCTTTAGAACTTCATCTTTAGACTAACAATACAATAATCGTGTACCTACACCAATAATACAACTATAATAAAGGGTAATTTTTTTTTATGTTTGTTTTGGTAGTTTTATTTTTGATACTTAATTCATAATTTATTAAATAGTTTTCAGTATCAAACGGACACACTAACGGCCTATGTTCACTAACGACCTATGCGACTATCACAGTATACACTTAATCCAAATAGGCTCGTTGTAATACGGCAGGATCTCCATTTTCCTACCCTAACTTGAACCTGTCCAAATTCTTTATAAAACAATTTAAATCACTCGAATATGTTGTGCCGGGGATAATAAACTTCAATTTAAATTGTTCCATATGCATGCGGCCAATAGCCTTTCCAAGATTTTTTTAGAAGAAATGATGTTAGATTGATCATTGTAAGGTTTTTTGGGTAGCTATGAGATCTTCTCCCAACCTTAGGTAGAAAGACCACTTTAGCTGCATTCTTGATTCTCGGAATGTAAGTTAAGTCTATACAACGCTCATAGATACTTGTTAACTAGGGAAGGAAAACCTCCGTTGTGTCTTGCAGTTCTGCCAGCACTATGTCATCTGACTAACAATCTAATCATTTTTTGAAATTAAACTTTGTGAAAAAGTTATATAAATCGTGACCATTGGCTGAGCCAATCAAATTGTAAAAGTATCCAACTTGTATGAAGTTTGAGAATGGAATGGCAACGTTGAATAAAAAAATCACCTCTTATGTATAATATGAAAATGTTCTGTTGATAATAATCTTTTAAATATAAATGTGATGCATGTATCAATGTGTATCTATATATGTATGTATGTACATTTTAATACTTTTCCATACATCTGTAAAAAAAATATAGAGGTTTTGGTAATGAAAATTTCAAGTATAATAATTTGTTTTTTATTTTTATTTTTTTTGCCAACTTTTTCAATTTTTACTTTTCAAAAGTTTTAATACAATAAAAGTTTTGATCATATATGAAATAAAATAAGATATACACACATTATTGTAAGTAAAAATAGAAATTAATAATTAATATAAAAGAATCTAAGTCCGTAAATTATTAATTGTCCTTAAAATAGAAGATTGATAATTACTTTGCAATTATAAATAATGAACAGAAGTATTAAAATCATTTTTCATACAAAAGTATTAACCAATGCTAAAGGTATATTAAGGTCAAGAAGGCAATTTGAGGCCATATGTATGCATATAAACCGCATTGTGTTACAACTAGTAACTGGTACTATTTCAGTTTATTATTTAAAATTATTTAATATCAACTGTAATAAAGAACATTGGGTTTCTGCGTTAACTACTTAATTGAAGCAACTATTATTGTACGTGCCACACACAGTGTGAAACAAAGAATTTTCTTTTATTAATATCTAAAAACTGTTTATATAAACAATATCACAAACGCCCATATACCGACTTATTAAAAATTGATACTAGATGTCGCAATATATGTACGGTTAATGTTGTGACCTTTGTCCTTGAGCTGACATTTTTCTAATTTAAATGTCATTTTTTGTTTTTCATATTATCCTTTAGAGCGAAATGATTTTAAAGGTTTATGACGTGCTTTTTTTGTTATTTTTTTTTTTGTTATAAAATAAACTCAGTTAATTTTTATTTAAGCAGTTTTTTTTTTTTTGTTATATTTTTAACCCACGTACATTCGCAATAAAGACAAATCATTGCAAAAGAATCAAATCAATTATTGCAATTTCACAAGCAAATCATTTAAATGCAGGAAAGCTTTAAATCGCATGCATGTGTTGAAATACTAAGTGTATTATATGAATATGCTCGAAAACAGAACATTAATTACAGTTTAATCTACTAACAAGAATTTTTTCTTACATTTTATCCGAAAAATATGCAATCTTTTTAAATTTATTTATTTTTTCATAAATGCAATTGTATACATGAAATTGAGGATTACATAATTGCATAATTAATTTTAAATAGATAAATAGTTTTGAAAACTATGTTAAAGATAACTAGTCTCCAGTAATTTACGCATCTTACAACATATATATCACAGGTCTAAATACAAATTGTGTCATATGGGAAACTTAGTTTTTTTATCGAATATCACATTATTTTTTACGATGCCGTTCCGTATTAATAAAAGCAACTCAGAATATTGAATTTTAAAAATTAAGAGTTTTACTTTACTTAGTCCTTGATATCACATATCATTATATGTATATTTGTCACCCACCCCAAGTCCTAATCAGAAATTAATTTTTTATTCAAACATGGAAAATTCTTTGAAAATTTTATATTAAAAACAAAAAAAAAATTAAAATTTTGGCAAGATAGTTGAATGACATTTAAGAATTATATGGATATATTGAACTTTATCCATGAACCAGAAGGAGTTTTTATAATTTTTATTAACGAAGAATAAAATTTGTTACCAAGCAATAGTAATACAAAGTTTTTTTTATAAAAATTTTCCAAAGGACAATATAATTTCTTTTATTCCATGAAAATATATTAAAAATAAATCTCATCATCGTTATAATATTAAAAAAAGAAATCTCATTGAAAAGAAAATTGCCGCAAATATACTTTAACAAATCTTAAAAGTAAATCTGACTAAAATACAAGCTGTCTTTCAGGTGTTCTTAACTTTTTTTTAAATATTTCTTATAATAATTTTTAGCATTAACGAAAAAGTTATTTTATCGTAGGAAGCATTAAAAACAAAATATTTAGTATTAATCTGTTCGATTCACTTTATTATATAAATTCTTTTTATATAATATACCATTACAAAATAAATGTACAAATATATATATATATATGTATAAATATAATGTTTTTATGTTTATAAATTTCAGGAAGACAACGATAATGATAAGGACAAAGAAAATTCTGAAACTAAATTAATATCTACTGAAGATGATGGTATAATGATTAAATGTAAAAATAACTGTGACGATATTGTAGAAGAAATAACCAAAACTGAAGAAAATTATAATAATGAGAAAACAAGAAAAAGAAATGATATTATGAATAGAGATGATGGCAACGATGATGGTGATGATTCCGAAAATGATGAAAGTTATGATGATATTGATTTTGAAGTTGAAAGTAAATCACAAAAAAGTTATGATGAGGCAACAACATTATGTGTAGATGAAAATCATCCAGAAAATGGATTTAATGAAATGGTATATAACATATTCATTATATAATTTTGTGAAAGATATACACACATAAATAAATAATATTTTTAATATCTACATATTAATTATGCAGATATTATGTGTCTATATTGAAAAAAATCATAGCATTAAGTGTAAAAGAATTTAAATTAAATGTGGAATAAAAATTATGTATTATAAAATTTAATTTTATTAAATATAGGAAACGAATTTGGAACGTACAAGTTACAATTCAACGTCACGTGAAGAGCTTGAATATGGTGATTTTTTCGAAGATCGAAAGCATAATAAAAGGTAAGTGTTAGCAAAATTGAAAATTAATAATTCAAACCCCGTGGATATAATATTGCATATATATTAGATATATATATATATACAATTTAAATATTTCTAAAATACAAACACTTTTACAACATCAATTTTTATCCTTCTTTGAATAAATTTTTATTTTTTTTTTTACTTAGAATATAAAATATGTAAATAAATATATTTATAATAATCCTTTTTCTTTTCATTTCATTATTCCTTTGTGAAAATATAAATATATCAAAAAAACAACATGTACATATATGATAATTTAATCAAAATATATGGCTTCTAAAATAGCAATCAATCTTTTAAACGTCCTAAAAAGATTTTAACAAAATCAGATGTTCTTAAAAGGAATCTTAATCCAACTCAATTCAAAAAATTACCAAAAATTAGTATAACACCATCTACAAAAAGGAAAACTTATGATAGAACCCCACATTCGGTAAGTTTGAACTTGTATAATAATAAAATTTAATTATAAATAGGCACGTTTCTCTTATTAAAGAGAACATATATAAAATAATTGGTTTTCTGGTTTAATAAGAAGTTAATCTGGTATCCTGAGTGAGTATACTAACGATCAATTTCCGCCTTAACCACACTATTCTCGGTATATACTGTTCCACCTTTACTTTGGACGTTTATCGAGTTCTGGTTAAAGCATTAGGCTAAAATTTTCAGGAACGAAAAGGACGGCATGAGACATTACCAAAAACCCAACCCACAGCCGCCTTTGTTATATGTATTTTTAAATCTCTTAAATCAATATACTTTTGTAAGAATCCTTAAAAAAATATTCTTTTATTCTATTCAAAATTTATTTTCAAATGATCAAAGCTATCATTTTACACTTAAAAAAAGAAAAATAAACCGTTCCCATTTGTTTTTTTTTTTATTTTCGTTTAAGGACTTGATCAATATTATTTTATTTTCTTCACTTCTTAAATTTCCTACGCTTAATTTCACATTACTCTCGCTTAACGCTTTAGTCCTTATTCAATTTTTACATAATTCAAAAAAAAATTTCTATTGTGTTGTGGTTTTTACCTTTTTTTTCTACTTTTCAAAAGAAAAATATATCACATTCATTCGAGAATAAAAAAAAAATAAAATAAGAATTTAAAAATTAAATGTACAAGTAGGGACAACAATCATTTGATGGAAAATGTTTTGCAAACAAAACAAAAACGGCGACGTAAAGCTTAAAGAAGAAGAAAAGGTAACAAAAAAATAAAAAGGATATATTCTCACCTAGACAAATTTAAAGAATTTTTTTCTGCCACCTATCTACTTTCTAATATTTTAAATTTTTCAAAAATGTATTCTTTTATTCAAAATGCTTTACCCTTGCTTTTCCTTGGTATATTTTTCGATTGTGGTTTTTTCTTTTTCTACTTTATTAACTGGAACTGAAACACATTACCACCAAGCAAGTATTTGCGTCACTTAAAATATTTAAATATTAAAAATAGAAAATGAGAAAATTAGTAAAAAGGTTAAGGTAACAGTATCGAGGGCGGAAATGCCACACGAATCATGCATCTACTTAAGAGTGAATCGTAACTTGATGTGAAACGAAAATTTACAGGCAAGAGTAAAGAGGATCACAAATACGTTGTTTGTTTCTAAAAGGATTGTTGATAAACGTTGAGCCGTGGTTAATTTATTCGTTTCATGAAAGTGTGGTTGATCTATTTCTAACTTCTGGAACGTTGGTCTGAGAGGTTTCGGGTAGAACAACAGTCATAATTAAAGAGAATGTAAGGTATGTCAGATATAAGAGTTTATTTATGTTCTGTGCACTAGACCTACTAAAGCTCAGAAGGTCTTGGCCTGGACACAGTCGATAAATAAGTAAGAAAAATGGCTGTGAAAAAATCTAAAGACTTCAAGCAATGATGGTTTTAAAACATGGTCTGGGCACAGACGTGTAGTACAGTCTAAGAAAGTATTGTGGTCCAACTTTCTTTTGCAATATACGCAAAAGTGGTTGAATTACAACTAAGAAAAGAATGCATGGGGGAATATTTTTCTATACGAATGATTTGATTCGACGGCTTTCGATGAAAAATTGCCTATAGAACTGATTTGTAAAAACTTTTTTAATACAACTTAATACTAATCCCATTATGGGGCATTTTCATCAGTATACCTCATTTTTTCAGCCATATCCGGTAACTTTTCGATTATAAATAGAAAAATCTGTAAAGAGTTATTACAAATTCGAAAAATTCCAACGTTAGAATTTCTTGTAATCTTTCTCAGTAATTGTAATCGAATTTCTCTCATTTCTGTTCTCTTATTCATTAGCGAGCATATAAAAAAATTTACACAGTACCTCACATTCAAAATCCCAAAAAATGAGAGAGTAAAATAGAACTATTGACTTTAATGTTCCACGTTTGAAATTCCAACATGAAGCAGTTTCATAAGATGTGATAATAATACTTTATACCTGTTTTCTGTGGGAAAGTTTTCAATTTTTTCTTTTCTTAAGAATATGCATAATCCTCAAATCGATCTTTATTTAAAAATTTTAATTTTTTATATTCCTCTTTTGATTGAAATTTATTGTTTTATTTTTTATACTTCGCGTGTTACTTATTTAACACTTTTTGCATATAGTGTCATAATACTGCTTATAAACAAGTTGGTACCATCAAACTTGTACAACGTTATAAAAAATCTATAAACCATCATATATATAATAAAAAAATATTATATAGTTTATGAATACAATTATAAAAAATGAACAAGGAACGAGTTGACTTAAGGATAATCCTTGTAAATGTTTATTTATTCCTTTGCTCAATTTTAAAATTTCTACTCTGAGATCATAATCTTTTTCAAGGTAAATTTAACTGAATCCAAATAATACCTTTTTAAAATGAAACACATTATTTACCATAAAAAAAAATTGAAATAGACATACATATAAAACAAATGTGTTAAAACATACATACATGTGTACTAAGTGTGTTGTAATTTTTAACGGATAATTGATATATAAATCTACTTATATAAAATAATACTTGGTAATACCACAATAATTTTTATTAAACTGTCTCAGTAAGGTATTAAGTGAAAAGGAAAATTGAAATGATATAGCATTAAATGAGAATGAGGGAAATATTTAAATTTAAATATTATACAGGCTGCTTCGCCTTTGTTTTATTAATTGTGTTTATTATATCAAATTTCTCTATATGATAAAAACTAAGTTTTCGACCCTGCAAATTATATAAAAGAAAATTGTCAACACTTACAGCTGAACAACCTATTAACATCCAATTAGCATCAAAATGATTGTTATCAAAAAAAACTTTGTACGAAAGAAAACTTCATACTCAAATTTTGCTTATCTAACAATGAAAAATGGAACATTATTAATACTTTTGACAATCTAACAGTAAACTTTGAAGAAGATTACATTTCGTTTTCAATAAAACTGCAAATTTTTATTCATACATCGCAATAATAAAAAGTTACAATAGAAAAATGTATAGAACTAAAAGCACACATTCTATTTAGTAAAAATGCTATGGGAAACGTTTACTCGCACATATAAATTTATAATATATTTACAGATAATAATAATGGGGTATGAAATTCTAATTTAAAATTGTGTCAATAAACACAATAAAGTATTAAGTAGAGATTTAGAATATATTGCGGTTCTGTGTAGGGACAAAAAAATAAAATTAAATAACGGTAAACGTGGAAAAACAGGATACTAAAAACATATTCTATTTTGTATTTTTGTTGCACCAAAAAAGGTTTCGTTATCGAAAAAAAAAATAAAATCGATTAGCATAATTTCTTCTTACTTTTACATGTGATATTCAAAATTAAATTTTCAAAATATATTATTAAAAAAGTCCTTTGTACCTCATACGAATTTAATTCTCATTTAAAAATATATGGTTACATATAAATACACATGCGATATATGCGATTATATAATGTGTATTATGCTTGTTGGGTTCGGGACTTTGTAAAAAAATAAATTAAAAATATCTTACATGCTAATAGAAAACAACAATAATGAATAACAATTACGTACCTGAACATATAACGGTGATTAGGTAAGCTAAATTTAATATCAAACATTTCCAACACGGTAAACAAAATATATACAAAGTGGAAATAACTATATATAAAATGATGATCGCCTGAATTCGAGGATATATAACGACAGGCATAACAGATATTTACTGCACATTGCCTCCAGAAAGCTAACCTATAAAAAGACTGTAGGCTATTTGAAGAATAATGTCTGTTTGTAGAAGAACAAGACACCGAATGTTAGATGCTAGCTCAGCCAGCATTGACGGAAATATTTGATTGTGGCAGTAGACTTCCTTGTATCTCGGAAGTAACCCCCCAAGCCACCGCAGCCATTTTTGACTTATTGTAGCCCCCCCACTCTCCCGTCTATAATATCCCCGTCCCAATCACAGAGCCGGAGATATCCCTAAGAAAGTTGGGCAACAGTTCCCGAACACTTAGGGACCCATGTCCAAGACAATTGCGGCGCCGAACAGCCAGTGCCGGACAGTCCAGAGAATGTGCAGGGGGGAGCCCGACTTCCCTATCCTAGGCAGGTGGTACTTCACTGGGCAGTGCCCCGTGAAGAAATTCGCAATAGTGCGAACCCAGCTCCTGCTCATCCCCAGAAACTCTGCGGTGAATTCGCTGGAGCACTCCGAAAGAAACATTTTCGCATGACGGCACCCTTTCGTGTCCCGCCAGTGACGGCCGCATTCCGCCGCGAGCAGGCAGAAAAGCCTGGCCCCCACGGCGGAAGAAGGCAGACCGCAGAAAGGCAGCGGCTGCACAAAGTCAGCCCCAGATCCCCTCCGCGCCAGCTCATCGGCAACTTCGTTGCCCGCATGGCCACTATGGCCCGGCACCCAAATGAGCGTCACTCTGTTCTCCGATGCCAATTCCATAAGTGCAGCAGGGCAGCTCCAGACCAGCTTGGATGTAACCTGAGCTGAACGAAGCGCCAGCAGTGCAGCCCTGCTGTCTGGGAACACATAGATGGTGCGGTTTCTATACCCCCTTTCCAAATTGATTATTAGACAGATCTCTATTGCATGTATTGCGGCCTGGAACACTGTGCAATACGGGTCAAGGGTTGCATATAAACGCGTGTCCGGGCGCACACCGTATACGTCCGAACTCACATTCGACTCCGTTTTGGACTCGTCCGCATACCACACGCTCGAACCCGACCTAAGTACCGGACCACCCCGATCCCACGTCCATCGATCGGAAAACAGAACCCTGTACCAGTGATCGAAGTTGTACCGCGGCAGACAGGTATCCGACATGGTTATTCTTAGAATCGGATCGCTCTCAATGAAGTCTCTGTGAGTTCTGTGGGCCAACTTTAGCCCTGCCCCGTCCTCTCCAGAGAGAAGTCGGTAAGTCACTAGC